TTTACATTTTGGTTTATTCAAATTGATCACTACAGTATTCTCAGAGATAATTCAGTAAATAAAGTTAGATTTCGTTTAGATGATTCTGTTAACTTTTTCAGTGATGAAATAGATTACCTATTTCTCATAAATATTCACTTATCTAATCTGTAGTATCAATATAATAGTAAACTTAGCAAGTTGAATTCTATGGATTATTTTATTCGGATGAAATATTACAATGCTTGGTTACGTCAGGTTCAAACTGTCTGACTAACAATTCCGTTCACAGTATACTATGAAAACAACCAATAAATTATGGTCATTCGATTGGGTCAAGCGACTGCTGATTGGCATAGATATGTTAACAGTAATATATGTGAAACATATTATATATATCTTTTGATGATTTCACACATATTCTATGTTGGCATTTATATATTATACCTGTTAGTTGGAAAACTATTTTAACGGAAGCATCCAAAACTGTTCAGACGTCTGCTTAGCACAAAATGTTTCATTACTCATTAAACCAATAATAAAATAAGATATTTAATAGTAAAATTAGAATAAATATAAGATTAGTTTATTTTCTATTGACTTAACCTGTTACCACAACCGTTATTGAGATAAGTAAGTAATTAATATTTCGTAAAACGTGAGCTATTTGGATGGGTAACAGTTTTCCACAATTCTATCAATGCATAAATTTATTCGCATCTTTGTTATACACATTTTGATTATTTAATAGTTGAGTTCATAAATCAGCTAAAGCTACACCATCATGGAAAACCTGAAAGCACCAAACGGCCGTTTCATCCTAGTATGGAACTCACCAGCAATGCGCATTCACAACCCCTGTCGAGGGATTCAAACCCATAACCTTCAGTTTCGCATGCGAACACTTAACTTCTAGACCATAAAGCCGGCATATCACAATGTTAAGATCTAACTTCAACAAATCCACATTTTGATAAATATTTTCTCTTTTAATATATAACTTATTATCATTCTCATTCATATTACCATTTCATAAATATGTCCCAAATAGAAATAATCAATAATGGTATCATTAAAACTGTACAACATTGCAAGAATTCAAGTGGTGTCCGTCAAGGATGTCCACTTTCTCCATTTTTGTTTAACTTCATCATAGACCTATTGATGGAAATAACTTTCTCGTCGACTGGATTCTCGGGTATTGATCTCCATCCAGGAGGTCCACTTATCGACTTAGAATACGCAGATGACATAGTCCTGTTTGGTGAAGAAGCTGACAAAATGCAGAGTCTTCTGGTAGCACTAAGCAACAATGCCAGAATGTTTGGAATGCGCTTCTCTCCCTCTAAATGCAAGTTGTTGATTCAGGACTGGTCTGCGTCAACACCTGAACTAAAGATAGGGAGTGAAGTAGTCGAACGCGTTGACAACTTCACTTATCTTGGAAGTTTGATCAGTTCTAATGGGTTGGTGTCTAACGAAATCTCAGCACGGATTCGAAAATCTCGCTTGGCTTTTGCCAACTTACGTCACCTTTGGCGAAGGCGAGATATCCGTCTATCAATAAAAAGACGAGTATACTGTGCGGCAGTTCGTTCTGTTTTAATTTACGGCAGCGAAACATTGCCATTAAGAGTAGAAGACACTCGTAAGCTACTAGTATTTGACCACAGATGCCTTAGAAATATTGCTGGCGTCTGTTGAGATCACCGGGTAAGTAATAGTGAGGTTAGACGCAGAGTATTAGGAAATGATGGTAAATCAGTTGATGAGGTTATGAATCTTCATCGACTGAGATGGTTGGGCCACGTGTTACGTATGCCTGAACACCGATTACCACGACATGCAATGCTAAATAGTGTAGGGGCTGGTTGGAAGAAAGTTAGGGGCGGCCAAGCCAAAACGTGGCATCAGTGCTTGAAGTCACTAACTTTAGTCTGAGCCATGTTGGTAGATGCAGACTGCTTGGTTGGGGTCCGCGTGACTATCGTAACCAATGGTTGGAGACTCTTGGTGACATGGCTCAGAATCGGTCACAATGGCGTCGGTGTATACACTCCCTGTCTTCCCTTAAACTAAGAGATTAAAATCGCTTCATATCTTTCTTTCTACGAACCAATTCTTTCTTCTTGTACTATATCTCTATATGCAATCTTTCTCTTATATATTACCACCTTTTACCTAACCACTGTCATGAATCCGGTGTTCATCTTGTTGTGCTGATGCGGTATGGCAACCTGGACCGATGCACACATGTGCCTGGTCCTACGTTGTAGCTGACTGACTGCAAGAATTTAAACAAGTGTATATTTATTTATAGTGATTTCTAAATCACGTTTTATAGTTATAATTAGAAAATAATTAAAATGAACGATATATTATGAATAATAGAAAAGGAGAAGGAGAACAAAATGATTTAACTTGGTATAGGAATTTCACTGTATTGATAATTGACAGTGATTGAAATTAATGTAATTGTTTGTATATGATCATTAATAGATTATCCTATGAAATTGTGAATGTGTATAAAATCAAGACAAGTGTTGTCATTTAAGTTTATTTTTTAAAGAAAAAAAAAAGAGAAAGAATTAATCATTTATCAGATATAGAAATAGTGTGAGAACAATGTCAAATTATAAAATCAAATTAATTCTGACAATCGTGAGAATAAAAGTAAAGATGTTAATTGTTAGGAAACATATTTACATGAATGTGGTTTGTTGTATGGGGGAGAAAAGATACTTTTTTTATTGCAATCTAGCAATGGATGGAAGTTATGAAAGATAGAAACTTGGTTGGAAGATTTTAATTACTGTTGTGCTTATAGTAATTAGAACACGGATATATAGTATTTTGATGTTAGTTGATTTGACGACAATCGGTAGAAAACCTTGAATGTAATTGTTGCTTTATTCAGAGGAAATGGTACTATCTGTGGAATTCTAACCATAATAACCCAGTATTCCACTCTGACAGATTGTCAGTTGGTCATCAAGTTGGCTAGTATCTCTTACTGGAAACGGTCAACCAGCACGAAACCTAGATTCAGTGTATCCTGACAACTGCCCTCTAATTAATTAACATCAAACCATAGTGTCCACAAGTTGAGTCATTAAAAGTAGTTGTCACACTACAACTTGATCGACTTAATTCCATTATCAATACAAAATAGATAAGCATGGTATTGTTTATTACTCAGTAACTATTCAAATATAAATAGCCACATAACTCGAAATACTATGTACTATAATGAAAGCTAAGCTTTTGCAAATTTTGTGTTTAACATCCATTAAACGAAATAATATTATATCTCTTATGTATTTTATTGTTTGTTTATCTGAAGTGTTCCAAATTTATTTGCTAAATTAATTTACTTCCAAACAGATTCACTCAACTGAAATAAATGGATAATACTAACAAGCATGTTATTGTTTTCACCAGTCAATTATTCAATTGATTCAAAATCATTTACATTAACAATTTGGTTGTGCTCATTCCATACATGCATGTACATACAGGCAAGTGTAGATGTATTCTTTGACTAGTATGCTTTACTTAAAAGAAAGTAACACTTCATTTAGATGTATAATTAAAAGTTTTATTCAGTATTTGGATATAAGATATATAATTTATGCACGATCTTTGAGCGACGCTAAATCGACCTTGAGAATGACCACCTACTAACTAGAACTGAATGATGGTTATAAACCAATGTCAGGAATAAGGATTATGATTTACAATTGATTGTTACGGTTAAGAATTAGATCTAAGATTTTCATCATAAACTGACATAAGCTATAATGCCAAAACACTATTCAGCTAAATGTATAAGTGAATTTTGTGCTAAACTTCAAGACCTGTTATCCGAAATCTGATTAATTTGTTTACAAATAATAGTATCACCCCAATATTTAATAAAAATAAAAGACAGAATGAAACTGAAATAAGTTTTTTTGAATTTAGTTTTCCATTGAGATAATGAACCGATTGATACTAGACCACCGTTGGAAATCTGGAGGCACTGGACGGCAGTTTCATCCTATTGTGGGACTCCTCAGCAGTGCGCATCCATTATCCCGCCAGCGAAGTTCGAACCCAGGGCCTTAAGTCTCGCACGCGAACGCTTAACCTACTAGGCCACCGAGCCGGCATTCAATAATGTTAGCGTTTAACATCAACCAATCCACGAAATTTCGCGACCATCTTACATTGTACTGAGGTAGATACCTGTCTCTATCCGACACGGATTAGCTCCACTGGTCACGGCTCCGCACTAGAACTCCGAGAATTAATACTAATATTACTTTTTGTTTATCAAATAATAATTTCTTTAGAACATTATTATCAATAGTGATGATAAAATAGTTGCCGATAATATTTATTATTTATTTATTTATTTGAACACATAAATACTGGCACAAGGGGGCACCAATTACATATGCGCTGCACAAATCTCATTTGATATGTGTGAGAACTGTGATACCGCCCGGGTGCCCAAACCGAAGCAGGTGGTTTTCTTAGGAGGCCACATCGGTTGCCTTTGACCTGATGGTCTGATCCACAAGTCATTGGAGCATCGTTAGGAGATGCAGTCCCATGGTATCCGGTGACCAACGATTGGTTCATACGTTATTTGTTCCTTTAGGATATTGCAGCCCATGTGCACCTATCATTGATGATGATTATTCAACTAAAAGTTATATTCATTACTACTAGTTTGTCACTTGTACTCAATGATTCAATGATATGAACCTATTTTGACAAAATGAATATATGATGATGATGACGATGATGATAATTAGTCAATAACTTTTGATGAATATGCCTGTATACATACCTGTTTAGATTTATAACAACATTTTAAAATATCCATTTATTTTTCAGTATAAATATTGGTCTAAAGTAATAATAACCTTGAAAAATTCAATTAATTAATTAAATAAATAACTTTGCATTGATCATATGTCCAATGTACTTTTTTTTTCTACTATAATAATAATGTTTCTAATCAAAATAAATTATCATCTATTATATAATGTTTCTTGTTCTTTATTTTTATCCCTCTTAGTTTCTAAATCTAAAAATTCCTTATACATTTCAGAATTATGAATATTATTTATGTCATTGTTTAAACTGGAAGTTTGTAAAGATGACTTATTTAAAATTGTAGTCATTGTTTCAGGTGAAGTGTATAGATCAAATTCAGTAGTATCAGTTATACTAGGACTAATAGTGACAGTTGTCGTTGTTGTTGTTGTTGTTGTGATAGCAGTAGTAGTAGTAATAGTAGAAAAGTTAGATAGATGAGATAAATCAGTGAAACTGCTTATTGAAGTTGCTTGTTCACTACAATATGAAGGTGAGAAAAATTCAGCTTCTGATGCAAATTTCACACGATTTTGACGTGAATTATGCTTTTCTTCAACATTTTCATCATTATTCTCGTTATCATTATCATTATGCTCAATTATCAAGTGAGTTTTTGCATCTACAGAATTATATTGAATCTGTATATTATTAAATGCTTCATTAGATTTTGTTTGTTGTATTAACTTCAATGGATTCGATAGTGTTGAATTATTGACAGGATTATTATTTGTAATAGTTGTATTAGTGGTAGTATTAGAAACCAATAAAGCATTAAATTGGTTATTTAAAGTATTTTCATAATTTTTTATGTCTTCGTTAATTATGTCTTCACAATGATGTTTGTGAGATACTTCAATGTGTTCATCATTAGTGTCATATCTGCAGAATAAATAAAGAAAATGGTAAAGAATTAATTCGAAAAGAAAAACTCAGTTTAAAAAAAAAATAATTGGATAAAATGTTCCATCCATAAGCTAAGTAATTCATATACACAACTCTACACTGAAATAGATCGTACAAATTTGAAGAGATGGTTGAAATGAATGTGTTAAGTTGGCTGACAACAACAAAAAAAATGAAAATAACACCACCCTGAAGCTAGACATATAACATTTTGTGAATAGGTTGAAATTAAATGAATACGTTTATTAGTATTTTATATGTTGTACATTAGTAACTACATAGGGAACTCCACACCCAATTCATCAGCTCATATGTTTATAATCCTTATCATCACGTAATAATGTATAAAAATATATAGAACGATAATAGATCAGAATTTGTTAATCTTAATAGACAAATAACTAAAAATATTTTTATGACAAAGCTGAATGGTAAATTTATAGTTGAGTGACATTAGTTTATTAACAATAATAGATATGGTAATTAATAAATCTAAATGAGCCGACATCAAAGTAACTGTTAATTTAGAGAAAATGCTATAAAATTTTATGGAGTTAAAATCGAAATGATAGTTACAATTAGTAGTGAACTCTCTCTCCATATATATATTATATTGCATGGAATTCGGATTTCTACGTTTAACAGACTATATGTGTATTTATCAGTTCATCTGCTCTTGTAAACCAAAGTATACAGTCTGTAGCCAACCCTAACTTTCAGCATATACACCACAATATTTTCTAGCTTGGTTTTCAAGCGGTAAAATTAACAATTCAATTTTAGATTAATCAATTAACCGATCTACTGGTGATAAGTTTGCTTATCACATATTTGTTCTTTACATTTAATATTATTATCAATATCAAGCTGATCATATCTGTAAACTGGCATTAATTCTGTAATTATTGTTATCAGATTATATATGTATATATAGTATTCTTATTATTATACAATTTATCCATTTCCTATTGATTCTTCTGATAAACAACGAGATAAATAAGTCTGAATATTTAAAATTATTTAACTTGACATGATCAATAGTTCCATTTCAAAACTAAACTAAATACAATGAGAGACGTTAATCACGAACGGAGAATGAAACATCAAATTGGATACTTAAATAAGTAATTAAAAACATTCATGAAACTATGGGAAACTAAACTGAAAAGAAGGAATAATTGATTAATTATTAAAGAATATAAAAGGGAATCGTCGTATTTCAATGTGAAAACCAATAGTGAGTAGTAAGCTCTAATTAGCTAATCCAAAATGAACTAACACATAAATAAATATATGTTTACTCAGATATTCAAGCCAAACCTTAGTCAATAACATGTTCTTGTCATTTGGACTTTCAATAGTATAATCGGTTGACCTAGGCTATCACATACTCCCAAATCAGATTTACACTTATTCACAAAATCCAGATCTACAGACAGTGACTTTCTCAACTAATTTTATCACCCTTAGACTGCTTTCTCCCAACTTAATATAACTTCAGAAAGAACCCAATGTGTTAGTTAAACATTGTTTTGAAATGTGTAATACATCTATACGTTTCGGTTGGAAAACATTTGCTATTTCATCGTCAGATTTAATATTCTTTGTCTAACCTTAGTGTTACCCACTTTGTGGTTCTATAATACCTGCTACCTGTCTATATCTTCCACTAATAATAATCATTGCATACTTTAACAGGAAACAAGATATCTTTATAGTGTTATAGATTACGTAGGTTGCTAAATACTAAACAAATCTTTTGAGTTTGTGCAGAGATTTTGTCACCAAACGATCAATCACTCTTAAGGCTCAACAAACTAGTTCATATAACTGATCATCATGTAGTTTTGACTGAAATCAATTTTAAAGAATCATCTTACATTTAGTAGGTGCAAAAAACTTTGATATTTTGCTAAAGGTGTTCAGTAAATATTGAATTTTGTTAACATTTTAAATACCTATTTATCTATTTAATGAGTAGATTCATGATCAGTGCATTTGTATTGATACTAATATAATTGTATGCATTAATAATAAAATTTTATAATGTTCAGGTCAACGTCGAGGTGTACAGAACAAGCTGTGAAATGCATATGAATAAATTCGAACACTTCACTTCTATCTGAAGTTTGTGCTGATGATGTCGTTTAGAAGAACGATGAAACCTCCATGACTAAACCATCCAGCTCAGAGAACAAAACTCTATCAAAATGTGAATTATTGGATGTTAATTTAGTAGTTTAAGTTGTATTAAACTTTTTACGAACCTTAAACATCCTGAACTTAGTCTGTGGTAGGATTATAGATGCACATAATTGAGAATTCTTGTAATTGGATGAAACGGATATTCATTTCTTGCATGTTTTTCAATGGTTATCTATTTAAGACCAATACGTGATACAAAATATCTTAAAATTTAACTTATTACTATAAAAAAATCTGCATATTGGTAATAGGAAAAAATGTGCAACTAACAAAAACCAACCAAACTTTAACGTTTCAATCATTCATCAATTTTGAAGTAGGTGTAAAACTGTTGAAAATGATAATTATACAGCAGGTTGATTATTTTCAAAATTAACAAGTTTGAGAATAAATGCAGAACAAATCCAGTTTAAGATAAGATGGTGGTTGGAGGTAGTCAACAGGAAACCCTGGACCTGATTTTCGTGATACTTGACACTCGTCAGCAAGGTGTACCTGTAATCTTGAGGGAACTAGTGCTCCTTGACGGATTGGATGTGTAAGCCATTTATCAGGCTCCTTATCCGGAATCAAACCCTGATTCTCCGTTAGCCGTTATCGTTATTATAGGCAAATCACCTATCAACTCTATCAAAATGTTCAGGTCTCGATGTTGTTTAATCTACAATATCTTTAAGTATAAATCTAGATAAATATTTGAAAACAAGATTATCTTCGTTTAGTTTTTTTCTAAAACTTTTAACTTATAGGAGAAAAATTGTCATTTTATTTATCACATGATATTCTTCTATACAAGTCAACTTTGAAGACAGATGGTCTCTGACTAGACTAATATAACAAATTTATAGTCATCAAAACATTGAAGTATTTTTCGGTCAACTAAAAATTATTTTACATAGTTTCATTGTAAAAAAATAATTGATAACAAGCGATTATTTTGATTATTCTCAAAATGTCGGCATTACTTATAAGTGTATTTATATGTACAAGTACATGAATAAATGTGATAAGAATTAAACAAGCAAGTATTTAACATTAAACAACTATACATTAAAACAATACAAGTGTCCAGTAATTTAAGCAAATATGCGTATATATATATATATATATATATATATATATATATATATATATATATATATATATATATATATATATATATATATATATATATAGATAGATAGATAGATAGATAGATAGATAGATAGATAGATAGATAGATAGATAGATAGATAGATAGATAGAACTACCAGGTTAACAAAATATCTGATAAGACAAGTCTATAATAATAATTATCATCGGGAGAATGATTATATTGGTGATGTAAACGTATAGTATGACAATAACACTATTGACAGTAGAAAGTATACTTTGTCGATGTTTTCTTTTGTCTTTTTTTATTTCAAATAAGAAACAGAAGTGAAATATTCGAACAGTTAATATTTATTTTCAAATAAATATGTGATTAAATAACTTTGATGATCTGTATTAGTAAACCAGTAGTTTATAAGAAAATGAATCCGTATATTGGATAATTCTAAAGTGATCTAAAATCTAACAATTTATATTGCCAGAAGCGGTTTTGTGAAGATTGTTGTAATTTCAATAGTTGGAATCATGAGTCAATTGAAGCTAGACCAATATGAGAAACCTGGATCTAGCTTCAATTGACTCATGATATCAACTATTGAAATTACAAAAATCTCAACAAAACCCTCTTCTGATAGTAATCATCTGCTCACTACTGACTGACTTCAAGAGATACTTTTGGAGTTCTAGTGAGAAGCAGTGATCAGTGGAACTCAACCAAATCTGTTGTAAGATATCAGCTCAATGAAGACAATGATACCGGTGACGCAATTTCGTGGATTAGTTGACGTTAGACATTAACATCGTTGGATGCCGAATCAGTGGTCTAATGGTCCTGGCTTCGAATCCCACGGGGTGCAGGATCGTGGATGAGCACTGCTGAGGAGTGCCGTACTAGGACGAAACGGCCGTGCAGTGCTTCCAGGTTTCCCATGGTGGTCTAGCTTCAATTGACTCATGATCTCAACTATTGAAATGTACATTGCCTTAGAAACTAGTTCTTAAGGCAGGTGAGTTTGTATAAAGTAATATTATTATTAGCTATTATTATCTGGTTGAGATTGAAAGTACTAGTTAGTGGAATATTTTAGAAAGTATAAACTGATTTTAATACCCTTTGAATTTTGTTCACAATCCCAAAGGGATTAATTGAAATTATTACAGAATAAAGTGTAATAAAATCGTACTAAACTCAAGCTTAAGAGCATTTACTTCATATTCAATATATATTTACTGTAATAAAGTTGGAACACGAACAATCCTAGTAAGAGTGAATAATAATAATAATAATAATAATAATAATAATAATAATAATAATAATATGCATGCCAGGCTAATAAAATAATAATAATAAATTAATGGGCATAGTTTTTATACAATATCTTGTCCTAAAATAAGAATTTCTATGTTTCAAAATATGTTCTACACACTGAGTAATTACTATACTTTAGATTATAGAATATAATTCGTTAATCTAACTAACTAATAATCATTCAACCGAAATTACTAACATGATTAAACATCCTATTTGTGATTATAAATGTTGATTCAAATATCCGTCACAAAGAAAGTGAGTGATTAGGTGAAAATGAGAATGATCTTAGTGGTAAGAAAATATCAAACGAAGTGAATGGATGAATGAATGAATAAATACCATTTTACTTGTTTATCTACCGAGATGG